ATTTTTTAAATAAAAAAATAAATGAAGTATCTCTTCTTAAAACTAAATTTTATATGCATGAATCATGACTATTGAATCTTCATAACTTATAATAATATTATAATTTATATTTAGTTGTTTCGTTAAACATAATATTAGCTCAGTCATAAAACCTTATATATTTTAACATATCAAATAAATAATGCTCATGTTATTTTAATTATCCACATCAAAATATATATGCAGATTGCGAACCCTTTTTATCCCAATTTTTATTATCCACATCAAAATTATGAAAAATAAATAATTCGTAATTTTTAGTATTCTTCTAAACTTTTAATTTCACTACTTACACTCTACACTAATTGCTTATTTTTTTTAGAATTATTGAGAAATAATATTATTTTTATAGGGTGTTTTCAATTAATATTTCAAAAGATTAAAACAAATTATGAAAAAGTTTTGCAGTATTCAATTAAGAGTTTTGAGAATTTTTTAGACGATGGTAATATCTTGGAGTATTAAATTGAAATTTTAAATTACTATATATATAATTTTTTTTTACTCTGGCTTAGATTATATATTTAACTTAGTATTATATCATATTATCATTAAAAAAATTTAATTATTTTAAATTTAGATTATTATTTTAATATTATATTGTCATAAATACTTACTTTATGCCATAAGTATATTATATAACCTATTAAATAAGTGTAAATTGAATTTATTAAATGTAATATGTAAGAATTACAATATACGTATTTAATAATATGAAAAAGTTTTTATTTAAAATAGTGTTTAAATATATTTACAGAAAGTTCATTTATTTGACAAACGTAATTACATTTATCATATTTAATAAGTATATATGACAAATATGAAATTGAAAGGGAAGATATTTATTTAATAATTTCTAATTACATATATTAACTACATTATAAATACTACATTATAAATACTACATTATAAATACTACGTTTTTTTTCTATGTATTTAATATTATTAACATAGTACTTATAATGTAATTAATATATGTAATTATCACTCAATATTAAATATATGTCTTTCATTTTAATTTCATATATGTTATAAAAACACGGTATTGAATAAAAAATATTTATAAGTTAATCACTATGTAATCATTCACATAATAAATAGTCAGAATTAATAAATATAATAAATATTTTTTATTCATAATGATGCGAATAAATATAATATCTACGAAATGTAATATCCTTGTTTAAAATTATAAAAGTAATTGCACTTATTAAATAAGGTTTTTTTTAATATATAAAAATATTATTTTATATAAAACTTATTTATATTATTAAATATGTATTTATAAATATAGTTATTATATATTACACAAAATAAATGTAATTCAAATTTATTAAATAAGCTATATAATGCCGAGAATACATATTTTTAATAATATCAAATTGAAAAGATAAACCTAAATTTTAGAACACTTAAAATATTGCTAACAATAATATTAAATAATGATATAAATTGAATGATAGTAAAAATATCAATTATTCATTTGCTTTCAATTATTTATAGTTTTGTTTGTTTTTGTGATAAATCATGTAAATTTATACATTATTAATTAATAATTGGCAAGTTTACTTATCGAAGAAGACAGTTTGGCCGAGTGGTCTAAGGCGCCAGATTTAGGCTCTGGTCCGAAAGGGCATGGGTTCAAATCCCATAGCTGTCATAAAATAATTTTATTGATTTTTTTTAAATAAAAGTTTATAGTTTTTTATTTCATTAATGACCATATTTAGTTAGGAAAAGAAAAATTAAAACGAATATATATATATAAGGAAAAATTATCGATATTGATAATTGTTTTAGTCCAAAAATAAAATTAAAAAATATGGACCTAACCCCTAAATATGATTCAACCAAAAGAATAACATAGAATTATTTAAGGATTGAGATTTTTTTTTTAATTTAAATGGGAAATTTTCGGTTAAAACTTGACAGGAATAGGATTTGAACCCTTAACCTTTTTTAACACGTTATCAACAACATTTAAAATATTTTCCATTTATTATTCCTTTGGTAACATTTAATGTAATTAGTTGAAAATTGTGTACCATTAAAAAAATTACATATTCTTTTTGTAACACTTAAAAATATTAATTTGGACACTCATCATTAAAATAATTTGTATTGTAGGTATTATCAAGAATTTCTCCAATTTCAGTACCTTCTTACTTGCAATTATTTACAAATCCTAACTAACACTTTTCAACAGCATTAAGAAAAATAGTCAGAATAATTATATTTTAATTGAATTAATTAGATACATACTTATTAAAATATTATAAATAAATTTAAATTTTAAGATATATATTATTTATTATTATATATTTATTGCATCACCATTTTGAAAAGAGGTTAATACACACTTCTGCAACAAATGTTTTTTTACATATTTTTAGTCAATAAAACAATTATTTATTTTGAATTTATAGATCTTTAACCATCCATATTTATATGTATAAATATTGAAACGTTCTCAATATTATTCTTAATAGTAGTGTCATTAATTCAATTTGGTTGGTATCATGTTGAAAATCATCAATATGATCTTCTACTGTCAAAACTTAACTGAAGAGGAAGTTAACCATCAACATTAATTTTGTTTATTTTGATATTTAATTATATATTTTTAAGTCAATGAAACAATTATTTATTTTGATATTATAGATCTTCAACCATCATTTTTATTTATATCTATTTGTTGTTAAGGAAAATATTGAGCAACACTCTAAAATTAATATTATAACTTGTTTGCCTAATGGACATGTTGCATTGTTGAGCATCTCAAATTAGTATTATATAAATTTATTTACTTGTAATATTGGTTGGACATATTATATTGCTGTTCCATTATAAAGATCAAATTTTTTTTTTATCTATTTGTATATATGTTTTATATGTCAAAATTGTGTGTGTTAAATGAAAAATAAACATGTTTTGTGAAGGAAACTGTAAAAAATAAATACCAGTTTTAGAAAAATTTGTGAAATTGATTAAATAAACTCATTTTTTAACTTCTTTTTTATTGTCAGTAGGAGATATTGTTCATTTAAGTCAATTTAAGCACCATAATTTTTTTTCTTTTTGACAATTTTTTTATTTTTATTTCGATCGTATTATTTAGCTTTATTATCATGTTAAAAATATTATTTATTTTAAAATTTTACTTCATTGTAGTTATAGCTTTAAAAAAATCTTTAATAAATTAATATATATATATATATATATATATATAAATTATTATTAATTTCAATTTCTAAAATATGAAAATTTTATAAACGTTCGGAACAAAACCTTTATGGATGATTAAGAAGCAGAAAAAAAACTTGAAACTCTAGTTTGTAGGTGTTAATATTCTATCTAATAATAGAATAATAGAAGTGATGACATTCGTACCAGCATCATTAATTTCCATGCAATTTGTTTGCTCCCTTCATTTTTTATTAATAATTTTTCTATTGCATATGATTACTGCACCAAAATAGATGATTGGAATAGGAAACAAGTGCGGAAAATTGTATGACTGTCACTATTGGTTGCTTGTGTCTTCATTTCCCACATTAAACCTTCCCATTAACATTTTGCTCGCCCAAACATGAAAAAAAAAATTACATTTTTATGTTTCAAGTCTTTCTACCCTCAAATTCTTAAATTGTGTTTCATGTCAAATAAAAACACATGCATCACTCTTATAGTCCTCTAGTTAAATATGCTTAATCACTGTTTACCAAACTTTTTATGAAATTCAAAATCAATGTAGGACGACTATTAAAATTGTGAATTGATAATTCCAAAAATACTTGCTATCCAAATTTTAATCCTTTTTTTTTTCTTTTGAGGAAATTATTCATCATATTTTGTATGCTCAAAGATAGTATTGCTAAAGACAAAAAATCATCATCTAGTTGAAACAATTCACACTCCATTGCTTCACTATCAAGTTCTTCAGGGCTTCATGGATGACACTTTTCACTACCTATTGTTCAATCAACTACATGTCTTTGTCTATCCTTAATAATCCTATTTTATTCCCTATTGTGTACTTGTAACAAATCCTCTATAATGTTTTTGGATGTACTTGCCTCGTGCATGATATCAAGACAGGAGATGATAAAATCTTTGTAAATCTCTAAAATGTATTTTTCTTAGTTATTTTTATCTACAAATAAGACATCCTTGTCACTGTCCTGACCTTTCTTTGTTGGTATCTTTTTTCTGTCACCTTCTTTCATCGTTCCCCGTACTCCGTGCGTGTCATCTAATCGAGATGCCTTTGAACATTTTACCTATTTATCTACTTCCTCTTTCTCCCTTATTTCCTCGTAGGATTTCATGTACATATTAGTAGTACACTTTCAAAAAATAAAAAAACAGAAAGGGTAGATGATGATGGGAATGACCAATGCATATTGCAAACCTTTAAGCAGAGGCCTCATCGCTGAGGTATCAGAAACAATAACATTAAAACCTGTGCCCATTTGGCATTTGCACAATACTGTTGGAAAAATAATGATAAAAACATGATGTTTGATACACAATTTTGAACATTTTCATGAGCTGCAATGGTTGGGAGTCATTCAAAAGAAAGTGAGGCCCTCATAATATTGTGAGTCTCAATAAATTTCAATAGATAGGACACTGTTTGAAAGAATGCATTAAGGAACATGTTTCTCTTACCATATCCCAATAGACATTCACAAATAATGGTGAAGATTTCTGTTCTACGAATTAGTTTCTGAGATCTTCTGGCGCAACCATACTCCTAATGTTGCCCTTAGCAGAAATTCTTTTTAAAACAATGCTAATTAGATTCCATACTAGTTTAAAACTAAGGCAACATAAACCAGTTGACTGCAATTTTTAATAACTTACATGAATGATAAATAAAATGCTCAACTAGATATGAGCATTTTAACAAGTAAATCTAATTATTTAAAAGGATTAGTCTAAAAAACCTTGGAATGTCATCAACATCTTATCCACCTTCCATCAGAACTTCTAGCAAAAGTGCGGGGTTGTTTCGTGGGAAAGGTTTCTGTCCAATGTGGATGCTCAATCAAGTAAATCCACTGCCTGAATATGGAAAATGTTATTATTATTATTATTATTATTATTATTATTATTATTATTATTATTATCATCATCATCTCATGATATTTATGCAAATGTGAAAGTCTAGGAAATAATAGGCTGCACATAGATAGAGATGAATCTATAATTCTGCTTATATATGCATAGAAAAGTGCAGATAATTATAATCTTACAAAAACTCTTGCATTTCTTACAGAGAATACATCAGACAATAATCAGATCCAAAAGTTTAAATTTCATCATCTCTGAAGACAAATGAGGAATAACCAAAGCAATAAATGACAGTGTTTGAAGTTTTACAGTTGAAATTAAGGGTACTGAAGGGAAATAGAATTTTCCAGTTGCAGCTACAAGTTTTGAAAAAATCAAAATTCAGAAAAAATAAAAGTATAAATTAGACTAGGAAGTCTAGTTATCATTCTTCAAGAACATCTTACAAAACATATGATTCAAAATCCATCATCTGAAGACAACAACGACAATATATTCATCCGACTACTTGAAAATGCCTATATTGATTGCATGATGCTATTGAACTTGGTTAAAATTGAATTATCAAGAATTTATTTACCATAAGATTCTTTTTAATAAATTTCTTTCGACATCCCTATTATTTAAGACAATGATGAATGATAATAGCTTGAAACATATAAAATTAGAATCAACAATATGTTTACCTCCTTAAATTGTCCACAAAGTCTGGCGCCTCAGCAGTAGGTGACGTTGAACACATTGAAAGAATTTCCGAATCAGAATAATTTAGAAGTGACAGAGCAATATGATATTGACGAAGAGTCCTAGATAAGGAGAGTCCAATAAGCATCGGTGTATCAGAATGGAAGAGAAAGGATTTTGGAAACAATATCATACCCAACCAGAGAAAAATATTTCATTCATTATTTCCCAATAAGAAAACAATTTTAACCATCATGCATGGTCTAGTACAACTTATTGTTCAATACATGCTCATTTCACAGGAGTTTCTTCCTTTACTATTTTATCTCTGCATTGAGTTCAATTGTTTTTTTCACATACAAGATTTGAAAATGAAATTCATGAGATTTCAATTGTTACCAGTAACAAGGAGCGATTTTGAAACAGTCAGAGCCACAATCGTATGTTTCTAGTAACTTCTCATTCCAGTTGGCATCTTCATAAGAAGCAGATACTCGTATTCTTCTGACAAGCTCATCTGGACATCTAGAAATTCTATCAAAAATAGCTGGGATGACAATCCCTGATGCAGTCTCCACCTGAAATGATGCATAGAAGGGAGGAAGGCAAAGATCCCATTCAAAAGTTTGAACATATATGTAATTATTCACCGAAAAAGAGTACAACAGCTTTGCCAAACTGATAAAACCAAAAAAACATCATGTTACTATAACTTTTAGCTACTTGTGCCATGATACGTATATGTAATTTTAAAATATCGTATACCATGACATGTACCGATCCTTAGTAAGCATACAGAAATTCCTGATTTCATGTACTTGTACCACTAAATTCTTAATCAGTGTCAATATGCATTTTGGAAGTGTGAGCTGTTTTTTTATCCAGCTCAAGATTTTTTCATTTAAGAAACACATTAATGATTAATACAATTACAGGAGATCAGTGGTTAAGAGAGTGTTTGTGAGAGCTAAAAGAGGCAAACACAACTGTACTGAATAGCTTATAAATAGGAGAATAAGGAGTGGAGTTCTTAGTTATGAATGGTTTCGGAAGTTGTAAGGAGACAGGTCTCGCCAATACCTCATTGTATACCTTGGTTGCATTAATGAATAGACATTTAAAAAAATACAGGCTCATTGCCTTGTTATTTTTCCAAAATCTCCCATTCTATCCTATCATACATTCAAACAGATGCACTTGTAGTAGAAAAAAAATCTAAAAGCTTATTTGTGAAAGTGTAGACCATTCAAGGTGCCTATCAATGATTCAGAATATATTATGCATCTATTCACATTGTATAAAATTTAAAAAATGAGGGAACAAATAAGTATTTATATTGATGATAGAAGATAGTGCTAAACATGCACGAAGGTAAAGCTAACAGAGAATAACCAACTTCATATGCTGTATGCAAATAGGTATCTTACATAATATATAGGATATCTTTAGATTATCTTCAAATATCTCAAGAACATATACTAAAGAATCAATTAGTTAGTTAAGGAAGTGATTTAAGCAGTGGTTCCGTATTTAATTAGGGTTATTAGGTTATTAGTTTCACTGTAAGAAAGCTTAGGCTTAAGTTATTGCAACTACACTACTATAATTGTACTTAATTATTTTTTATAATAGGATAATTAGGTTAAAGCATTGTAACTACACTAATATAAATCTAATTTTCTGTTTGTTACCAGTATCCATATCTCTCTTTCTTTCTTCTATGACCCAGAACCTAGAATTCTTTAACCAAGTAAATATGTTTATAGTGATGGTAAATAAGAGGTTTGTCACATACTTTAAATGAACCAGACGTAACAACAATATTTTAAAACAGAAGCTAACCACAAATCCATTGAAAAAGGGGTATGTGTTTCCATCAGAATCCCTTCTGGTATTATGTCCAAGAACACAGATAGTCCGGATGTGAAACTTCTCATCTCTTGACCATAAAGTATGAACAATCTTTGAACACAAAGGAAAGGAATAACCATCCAAATATGCAGCGCTTTCTGATACTGTGCTACCATTAGAATGCTGCACAAAAGTTCAACAGATCCAGCTACAATTATACTGAGTAGAAACTACAAATTGAAAATTCACTAACAAAGCAGAAGACCCTGGCCAGACTTGCAGTGACACTTCTTCAAAACCCCCAACGAGATGCACCTACATTTGAGGACAAAGCAACTTTTACATCAGAAGATAATGTAAGCCAAAAAAAAAGTTATTGAACATATTGATGACAAAACAATCGTTATAAAAAGTAAGAATAAAGAAGAAAAAGCACATCAAACTCGGTCTCCAGACTGCTGTCAACAAGTGATGATAACATTTGGGAAAGGCCCATTTCTACAATTTTTGGTGAATCCATATGAGCAACTGATGTCCTGCAGTATTAAATTAAAAATAATAAAATAAAAAATTGAACAGCTAGAAGGAATATTTCCGAAACTTAATATACATTAATCTTTTTATCTAGGTAGTCACAAATCCTTACTCCTTACATTCCATTTTTTTGGTTCCGAATAACAAGGCCAACACACGTTGTTGCTTCATCAGTGCCGACAAACTAGTTACATGAGAGGGAAAATAAGCACACCAATAACATTTTACAAAAAGAACAGTAAAATTTAGCAAAATGAATTGAAATATAAATTGGCAATCATACAATTCCTCAGATTACTCAGTGTAATCTGAGGATCACAGAAAATAATGGAAAATGATCAGATACAGATAAAATTGCAGGCAAATAGCAGAAGTCACGTATGAATTGAAATATATGATATGATAATAATATATATATATATATATATATATATATATATATATATATTAAGTTGTATGCAACTAAAACCAAATGCATAAAGATTAACCCAATACTAACTCAAAGTTTAATTGGATGAAGAATCGCCAGAAATGACAAGAGATGCAGGATGAGTGACACAGCCATGAAACACAGCGGCCACAATAGCAGATAGAGTCACAATTGCAGATCTAAGAAATTCCACCATGCAATAGCGCTAAGGCACCACTATAGCAGATATTAAACAACATTGAGATTACTAAAGCAGTCATCGCCTGGGGTTATTGAATTAATATAGAGTTTAAAACATGAACTAAAGCATCATATTTAAAAGTGATTCTCCATGCCTTTTACTAGTATTTTTATGTATCGGTTTCTCTAACATAAAGGAAGGCCAGCAGGAGTCCAAATTAAAGAAAAAAAACAAAGAAATATATAAGGCAGAAAATGGACAAGGTGGGATCCAATGCAAGGCAGAACTCATAATATTCAGGATAGGAAAAGGAAATTCCACAGATGATGTCACTTAAGTATGAATGGCCTGCATGCAAAAGATTATAAGTGGCATACAACAATGAACTATGAACCGGGAGTAAAATTACTCGTCACTAAAGTAAAAGGGAAATGGTTACATATGACGTAATCTATATTATATTAATGACATTAGAAAGGCTTAAAAAGTTACATCAACGTGGGCAGGATCAACTGTAGCATATTCTTTCTGAAATATATAAACCCATTTTGATCTCTCTGGACTAGACTCATCAGATGCTGAGAACTTCTTCTCTGGGTTAGCCTTAAAAGAGATTGAGGCCGATACCAGAATGGGATTTTCCAACAAAGCAAGTAGAATATCTTTTCCCTGTTCATAAGCACAGAATGCAGGTCTTCACATGCTTATCAAATGATTCTAACATTGTGTTTATACTTGCATCACAAACATTGTAACTTCCAATCATGCAAACAATAACTCAAAATTTCATGCATGTTTTCAGGAGCTATTGATTAAAACATAGCCTGAGAAATAATAAGCTATAACATGCTTTCTATAATTCCTTGCCTTTGATATGTAAGTTACCATCATTTATAAGTAAAGAGGACTGCAATTTGTAGACATGACATGAGGTCCTAAGTGTAGAAGGTCAAGAGATAAGTCTATGCACATAAAATTGTTAGTCTATGTGTTAGCAAGCCCAATGACGAGCGTCCAAACGAAGTGTCAAAAAGCCCTCTTGAATAAAGGCTTTCATCCAGTAGTAATCAGGCGTGTACAGGTGTAGGACACAAAGGAAATGACCCTTAGGTCTCTTGTTATAAGAAGCCGACAAGATCTGTATGGAGGGCAGAATGAAACACAATTTTGGCCTGTTTCTTCTTTTTTGATAGCTTTATCTTACCCTAGTTTGCCCTAGTCTATCTATCACCATGCCTTCAATTTTCTCCATGTTAGATTGTTCTCAGCAAAATTAATGATTCAAACACATCATTAAATAACACATAAGTGGTCCAAATATCATTTAAAAAAGCTACAAACTTACCCCAATTGTCCTGTAAACAATACAGGCAATTTTTAAAGAAGAGTAAGCTAAGGCCTATTCAGGGATGTTATAAGTATTCAGCTTTTGGTTTTTAAATGTAAATTTTAAAAACATGTTCAACTAATTGGGTTTTAACTTAAGTTTTTTGAAACACTTTAAAATCAATTTCTTTAAAAAAAAAAAAAGGCAGTTTTGATTTTCGGTTCAGTGGTAAATCATTTAAAGCCTACTTTGATCAATCTAATAAAGGCCCACCCACAACAACAACAACCACCATTACTGCTACTGCCGCTACATCACAACAGTCACTGCCACCACCGTTGCCTTGCCACCAACAGGATTATAACCACCGGTACCACTACCGTCACAATTGCTACTCCAGCCGCCACCTCAAGCACAATCTCTACCATCTCGACCAGTTAGCCCGAATGACAAAATGGTGACCGATTTGTGTGCTTTGGGTTTCAAATTTAAAAACTAAAACTTACAAAAGAAAAATTATTTTAAATTATAAAACTGAAAAAAAAAATATCGAAACCTACCACTGACAACGCTCAGAAGATGTTCTAAAGAAGTGGGTCTCACTTACACTTTTCTAGTTTTTATTCTATGATTGTGCTTCTTCTAAATTTTATTTGATGATTAAGTCTAACCCAAACAAAACATGCCCACCAAAGAATTCCAACAATTAATTAAAATGAAATAATATTAATAATATTAGTGACATATATATAGTCAGAAGAAAAGTGAACAATGCAATGAAATCGTAAGTTTTTTCCTATCACGAAAAGGGAAGTGGACGAGAAAGAGAGAGTAAGAAAGGGAACCTGAGGTTGAGACGGTGAAGATGAATGGGAAGAGAATTGAATACCATCAACGAATATCATGACTTCTGGGAATTGGTACGATTTAAGCAACCAACGAAAGAAAGCAAGAAGATGGAGTTCAAAATAAGTTCCTAATTTTATAATATTATATTTAATCATAAATATTTTATATTAATTGTATTTTGATCCTTCGATAATTTTATTATTTTTAATTCAGTTTCTTAATACTTTATACTCTAATTAATTTTTTAAATTTAAAATGAGAATCTTAATCAACTAGATAGGTTATTTTTGTCAAATCATTTAAAGTATTTATAATAATTACGTTTATTGTGTGGTTGATGTTTGTTATACGTTAAAATTATTTATGGTTTACCGTACAAATTATTTATATGTGTTTGTTAATAACTTTTGTTGTTTATTCACTATTAACCTGATCTACTACCTATTATATACTTTACATTGATAATAAATATATCTTTAAATTTAATTTTTGGGATAATTTTGTCATAAAATATAAATTAAGAGGTCTTTGTGATATAGAGGCGATAATGAGTCTATCGACTTATAACATTGATTGATCTCATAGAAATGTTGTACCAATTGATTTTTTATCTTTTATAAAAAGGACAAGTCTTAAAAATAAAATTTAATCCAAATATTATTCTTAATTATATGAATTAATTCTAATTTATTGGAGATAAATAATAATTTATACATGAAAATTTATGACCACATCTTATTGTTTTATACCAAAAAAAAATAATGTCTGTTAATCTTTTCATTTTCAGTGAAAGAAAGACAAAAGATAATAAGTTTTTTTTTAACATGAATACTATGATTAATTTGAACTAAAAGCCTCTCTAATTACATAGTAGATACAAAATTTTACACCATTTATTTTCTTTTTCATTTTCATATCATATATTTTAAACGGAAATTCATTTTCTATTCAAAATCGGCTATACACATAGAGAAATAAGAAATTTTTTTTTTTACCGTGAGATTCGTCATATAAGCTAATTAAATCCTTGTTTTCTTCTTCATTCAGAGCAACTTATGTATCTTTTTTGTCAAATTTTTCCTCCATCTCTTGCCTTATATATTATATTTTTTTAATATAAGGTAAATTTGTTTTTCTTTTTCTTATCCTCTGTCATCTTGTTTTAATCTTAAGGCCTTTTTTTTCATTAGGAGAAAACATTACTTTCTTTCCAATTTTTCTTAGTTAAAAAAAGGTTTTATGGAAAAGTAAGAGGATTTAATTTCAATCCCTAACTTAAACTTTGTAAATCTTACATTTTCTTGTAATGTTAATACCAAAAACAATTCATTAATTAAGAAAACCTAAGATTGGACTTAAAAAATTACTTAAATAAGAGTTTTTTAAATAAAATTATACCTTTTTAATATTTTTAAGAGATGATTTATTGTTTGTTGAAAACTTAAGTGACCGAAAACCTTATAGTTTAAAAGTTAAAAATAATTTATTTAAAAGTTAAAAGTTTAAAAGTGTGGTGACATAATATGATTAGGATGAACATAAGTTATATGATGTTCAAGGTATTATTCGCGAGTTCTTTTACTCATAGTTTTGTCTTTAAAAAATATTTAATGAATTAAGAGAGGATGATATATATAAATTATTCTTAACATTTATTTCTAAGTAATGTAAGACTTATTAATATATCAAGAAAATTATGTTTCTAGTCACAATCATAATCATTAATAATATACGCGAATAAACCATAAAATACACTAAGATATAAGTAAAAAATGGCTTGAAAGATTTAAACAAGAATTAAAAAATAGTAAAAGTTTTCCATCAATTTGATGAAAATAAATATTTAAGAACAAAAATTATATGACCTTACGTTGTATTTTTAACTAGGCTCTAGTTTATAAGTTGAGTCAAAATGTTATATTTTAAAAAGTAACCATGTATTTATATGTTAAAGATACCAATTTATGAATGTTTAAAATTGAATCCACTACTTTAATATTATTATTATTATAGTTTTATTATCATATTCGATCTATTTTTATTTTAAAGTTTTAGTTTATTTTGAGAAGGAGTAAAATATGTATAAATTATAATTGATTTTGACTTTAATTTATAAGTAACGTGAAACTAAGTGTTACAAAATAAATTCAAAAAATTCAATCCTAATTAAAACTTTTTTTTATATATTTTTTATAAATTGATAATTTGGTTCAAATTTTGAATTAAAAATTAAGAACGAATAAAATCAAAATAAACTGCTTATTATATTTAACTAAATATAATGTTATATGTTTAGAATTGATTATATAATTATATCTCATAAAAATGGTTTATAGTTTGATATATTTTTAAGTATTAAATATAATTTTAGACTATAGTTTTTAGTTATAAGATTTTATAATTTATTTATTAATATAAAAGATTTTAAAATCATTAATATAATAATAATTATAAAAAAGGTAATATGTTATTAAGAAAATTTCATCGTAAAATATTTATCAATCTATAAGAAAAAAAAACTAGTTAAATCGATCCATATTAAACTTTAAACATTAGTTTGATTTGGTTTAAATTTTATATTAAATTAATATCAAATAAAACCAAATCGTATTTATTTATATTTGATTTGAACGATTATTTGACAAAAAAATTAAATCAAGTCGAGCCAATCTGAATATAAGTTTCAAAATAGTAACTTTTACTCAGAAGAGACTCATCCTTATATATATATATATATATATATATATATATATATATATATATATATAGAGAGAGAGAGAGAGAGAGAGAGAGAGAGAGAGGGGAAAGTTAGCTCTCTATCTAGTATTTGAGAAAACATAATTTTAATATTTTTTTCTGTGAAATTAGAAACTTTAGAAGAAAATAACAACATGTAAAGATTTATTATTATATAAAAATAAATATATTGTATAAAATGTTGAATTTAAATTTTGAAAAGTATAATTAATTTCATTATTTCTCTAAAAAATTGAATTTATAAAAATATTTCATATTTTTATACTAGACATATTAATTTGTTATAACAATAAACAAAATATTTTTAAAAAAATAGTTAATCTTATTTAAAATAAATTATTATGAGCTATCTCTTGTTTTTTTTTTCAATTCTTGTCTTATATTTTTAATGCCAACAGAAAGAGTAAAAAAAATATAAAAATAATAGTGAACACAAAATTATAAATTTTATGTTATAAAGATGAGATAGTAAAAAAAAATTGAAAACTAAAAAAATTTGAATTTTATTTTGTAACGTGAAAGAGAAAAATATGAAAATGAATTAATGGTAAAGAAAATATAGAAATTTGATGAGATAGAGTGAGTATGTGATAGAAAAAAATTGAGGTGGGAAAATGAAAAAACAAGAGATAAAAATAGAATGAAAGAGAAAAAAAAGTATGAGTAACAAATTTTATAAAAAATAAAATAATACTATAAATGAAAATTAAAAAAAAAGATAAAGTTTTTAATTTTATTTATATTTATAATTTTTATTTAATTAATATATATATATATATATATATATATATATATATATATATATATATATATATAAAGTTATATAATTCTCTTTTCATCATTCCATGAAATTATCGTTTATTCAATATAATTTGATTATGCATCTTTCTTGATCAGTTTTCTTATATATAATAGATATTTATTCTAGTTGTAACAATGAGACATATTTGCTCTAATAGAATATTATTATGGTTCATTATCATGATTTAAGTATTATTTGTTTTAAAAAAATTAATACAAAATAATTTTGTTTTTAAAATATGTCTCGATAAATTAAAATAGAAGATTGTATATAAATTAACTTTAACCTTAACTCTTGTATTATATAAGACTCGTAAGTGTACCAATATTTCATATAAAAATAAAAATGTATCAATCTTATATTCTTAAAATTGAGATAAGATAATGTATATAAATTAGTATGGTCTTTTATTCTAAAGTGATGTAAAATTTGTAAGTATATTAATATTTTATCTAAAAACGATAATATCCAAATTTCATATTTATTATGATAAAACATTAGTAGGTCTACCTCAAACATATTATGCATTTAAACTATAATTTATTTTTATTTTGAAAAAAACGTCTAATATATATATATATATAAAATTTATTTTTTATTTTTGAAAAAACGTTTAATATATATATATATATATATATATATATATATATTAGTTAATCTTAATTTTTAAATGAATGAATCCAAATTTTGTTACTAAAATATTATTTAAAAAAAGTGAATTTTGTTAATCAAAATATTTGCGAAATATATATTATGGTTGATTTAATTATGTGATAACAATATATATGTTTAATGGTGTTTATTTGTATATTTTTATGAAATATAATATAAATTCATTATATCCCAAACTCACTAACATGTGCAATTATTTTTTCATATATATGGACCAGCCTATTAGCTACTCACATTTATGCTGGATGTGTCGAACAAACTAATTTATAAGTTTTATATGAATGATTTCGTGGATCAAATACGAAACGAACCAATCCGTGTCACCAGTCGATGTTGATCATTGAAAAATATAGTTAACAAATATATATATATACATACATATATATATATATATATATATTTGTCACTTACATTTATACTGTTCTTTTATATATACTTTTTACACTGCTTTAAAATTGTATGCATTATTTGTAATTATTTTCGAATGAAATAATTTTTAATCAAATAATTTCAATAGATTTTTATTATTTATTTTAATTCGTTCGTGACATTTAATTTATTATAAATAAAACTTTTATTAAGATATTTAGTTTACATTTGAAACGAAAACAGTAGGTGTATACGATACACATACCACCTTTTTCTCAAATTCCAAAGCTTCACCGCAATTTGCTGACTATAATTTGTCTGGTTACGTCTTGGAGCTCCCCTCTTAATTTCCCACTGAACAAATGGTTATGATTCTATTTTAATACGTAAATTGCGATCTCATATTTTACAAGTAGTTTACTTTTTGAGTCCAGTAATGAAATACTTTTGTACACTAAACTGTTCTAACATGTTCATACTTTATTAATAATAATAAAATATACACGTTTTATTGTTGATAAACCCACCATAAACTGATTCGAGGTGCAACATTAATAGCAATAAATTGTAATAAACATTTAAGATGGAAAAAACACTTCATAAAAGAAAATCCATCCGCAAGTAACTATTTTTTGTTTCCCTCGCCATAACATATTTCCAATACTTGAATTACAATAAGGATTAGAAAGTTTGGACCCTTTCATCCAAGAGCGTCGTCACATTGGGCCAGTAAAGAGAACAAAAGCTATAAGAAAAACTGAAAACGGGTCACGAGTCCATTTCGGAGGGGAACCGAAGCGAGGAGTGGGGGAAATTCGCGATTCAATTTGAAGGGTCAGTGTCGCAAGTAGAAAGCAAAACTCTCGCAACTAAATTGCGTGCTTCGTTCTAGTAATGTGCTCCAGATAAGTAAGGCCCGTGGAGGCAAGACGTTAGTGCACAGTGTTGGTTTGGTATATTATTATTATTACAAGCAATTTATAATCTTGAACCTTCACACACAACACAACACAACACAAACACACGCGCCACATCACATACCACCACCACCACTGCCATCACGGTATTCAACCCAAAACCCCAACCCCAAGCCATGACATGATGAAGTTTCGTGAATTTTTTCAACCAAAATCCACGAACACATCCCACACGATGGAATAAGAGGGATTTGTGTTAGGAGTCTTAACCCAAACAAAAAGCAAGAAAAAACCCTAATGGTTGGTTTTAATTTTTATTTAATTAAAGTTAATTTAGTTTCTGTATATAAATATTATTTAAAAAATAATAATTAAGGGATTGGATTTGAAGAGGTGTGAGAAGAGGAGGCGGGTGTTGGGAAGAGCCAGTTTATGGTTAAACCACAATATCTTTTATATTTTTTTCTTCTTCTTTCTCGTAGCGTATGGAAAACCACCAAAACCACAAGGCAGAGCCAGAACCTGACAGAGACAAGAACCACCACCATAACCAAGCGTGGGGCACTTGGGAGGAGCTGTTACTAGCGTGCGCCGTGAACCGCCATGGCTTCAAGGACTGGGACACCGTCGCTCTCGAGGTTCAGTCGCGCGCCACGCGCCTCCTCGCCTCGGCGCGCCACTGCGAGCAGAAATTTCACGATCTCAACCGCCGATTTGCTGACCAATGCAACGACGGCGTTACGCCGCCGCAACAGAACGGCGCTGCCGCCGGCGACAACTCCGATCACGTCCCATGGCTCGACGAATTGCGGAAACTCCGCGTTGCCGAGCTCCGCCGCGAGGTCCAGCGCCGGGACGTTTCTATTCTGTAAATCTCCGATATTCTCCTGATGTTATTTTATTCATTTTAGGTTTTAGATCTAATTTTACCTTTTTCCTTTATTTTTATTTTTCTCTGGTTCGTTTTTTTATTTTTATTTCAAGGTCGCTGCAGTTGGAGGTGAAGAGGCTGGAAGAGGAGAAAGCCAAAGAAAATGACGGTAAAGACGACGAGAAACCAGATCTGGCGGTTTTGGGTGAGGCCCGGCCGGAAAACGACAAAACCGGCGGAGAAGTTGAAGAGGCTGGACCGGCGAATTCCGAACCGGAGCGAACCGCGAACGCTGACAAGATGTTGCCAACAACGGGGGACGAATCAGACCGGGAGAATCAGTCGGTTAACGAGTCTAACTCGACCGGTTCGAGGTTCGAGAAAACCGGAGAAGGAGACTTAAAGTTGCGAGTCGAACCGGTTACGGTCCAGACCGGTTCGATAGAACCGGATCCGGTTGCGAGGAAGGGTAAGCCGGTTGGAGAGGAATCGAATAACGGAAGCTACGATGCGTTGGCGAAGGTGCCAACGTGTGAGTCGGTGCCTCCGAGTGAGGAGAGGAAGGTGGAGCAGGACGATGACTCGTCCGAGTTGCACGATTCGGTGGCTCACTCCGGCGAGGGAGGGACGAGGGAGAGCAGCGACGTGCAAAGCTCCGCCAGCTTGACGCGGAAGAGGAAGACGCGGCGGAGAAAAGAGGTTTCCGGCGGAGACGGCCGTGGTGGGGGAACCTCCACACCGCCGGAGAACGACGATGTGGCGATGGTTGAATCAGAACCGTTGGCTGGGATTTTGGAGTTGATCAAGGGGCACGAGCACAGCTCTTTGTTCGAGCGCCGTCTTGAAAGCCAGGTATTCCATCTACTTCCTTTCGCGTGGATAAAACCGGTATTTCACCTTCTTTCAAATTTTTTTAAAAATTAATGATAATCTCTTATTCTTTTTATTAAAACAAATTACTTGTTTTATAATACATGCATGCACGTATGAAAAATACATATAAGATGTTTTTATGCTTAAAATAAAACTTAGATAAAAGTAAAAAAAATAAAAAAAATTGAGATTGCAAAACTTAATTGCAAGCAAGAAGCGGATACGTTCTTAAAATCGTGACTCTCCAACGAAAGGGGACCACTTATGAAACAGATTGGTTTTTTATGGGCACGGAGTTTGTGAATAAAAAGAGTGAATCGATAAATAAAAATCGAAGAACGTGGTGAAATAATCAGTTTTATTACACGAGGGAAAACGAATAGAGCATCCATTTCTACTTTCTAGTTTACTGGGACTAAAGTGAAGTTAGAGATTAGATGGTTTCTTACGGCCGAAAATGGTAGGTGCGCATGACACATGACCATGTTTCAATTCTTTCATCGCACTTATTTTAAGAAATAGATCAATTTTCTATATCATTAATTAGTTATGTCAGAAGGTAAAATTAATTACATTATTTGGATAAATAACTTTATAAATCTCTTGGTACACTCTCACGTTATTATGCGTATGGCAAGTATAAATTCTAAATCTATGGGGTCTCGCAGGCCCGTCGAGTTTCTCGATCTGAAACTTGCAAGCCTTTTCACTTGGAATATATGTTTATTTTAATATCTCATTTTCCTGGGGCCAAATAAGGCCAATTTACGTAATTTTCTTGTTAGAGAAAATTACTTTATCTTTCCCTAATAGCGGGAGAAAAAGTTATTAAGAATATTACCAAATTATGGTTTAGTGGAGCACGTGCATTTTTGTGAGCCCAGTATTGAGTGCGTCTGCATGCAACGTGCTTACAAATTATTTTAGACCGAATCAACGTAAGCCCACTAGCTGATCTTTTGGGCTATATCGTTTATACTACGACCCGAAGTAATCCACTTGACCAAGCATATTTTTAACTATTATTATTATTATTATTATTATTATTATTAAACTTTTCTTTTTCGTTCCCTTTTCTTGCGCCCATGCTTCGCGGCGGTGACGTGTTTGTTCATAAGTCGTAGTCATCCAACTGTGTTTTCTCTGAATATTTAAATTGAATGCTTTCTTATTTACAAGGGTAAATTGGTTTATTGCAAATATTTCCGTGTGAATGCTAAGTGCTTTTTCTTAAATATATGCAACGATATTCTTTGCATTTATCTTATACTATTTACCTTTTTCTATATACCTATTTTCTTTGTATATCGTATATTTATGAATAAGTAATTATCTTAAGTATTTACTTGACAGATAAAGGAATTATTTTTTAGTAACATTTATTAATTGATTTAAAATACACGCATACCAAATTAATAATAATTGTAATCAATTTAATGTCCTTAGTCTAATCGAATGTGTGTGTGGATTGGATTGGACTGGACTGAACGTTACCGTGATGGCACTAAGTTTGTTAATGTTTGGATTTGATAATAAAAAAACAAATCTGTACGGTAATAGAAATACGAATGGGCCCCACCATTTTGTTTTCCTTTCCCTTCTTTCCGTCCTTGTTCCTGTCCTTTCTCGTTGAAACAGCAAAAGCGCGGTCTTAGATGTGTGCAACCTCCTATATTGTTATTTTTGAAGAGTTTTAAAAATAATTCGAAATACATCTCAAAAGCTACTTGCATATAGTAATTAAATGTTGTTTATCTATATTATAATAATTCAATTTTTAATCGACTAAATTGTTTTGATACTCGAATATGTTTATCCATGATTCCTCAGTTTCATTCGTACCAGTAGTATTTGTACATATATGCTAAAACAATTATGTGTACGAAAGTCCAATGTTTTGCCGGATAAAGTACCTGTTTCTCATGTTTAAAATTTACCCATGAATGGATATCAGACGTAGGTTCGTGCAATTATGATTACTATGTAAACCATATTTTGGCTTGGTTGCATGTGGCTGCAGGAGTCGGACAGATACAAATACATTGTGAAACAGCCACTGGACATGGAAACCATACAATTGAGAATCCAAAAAGGTCACTATTCTTCATGCCCTAATGCATTCTACCGCGATCTCCTCCTCCTCTTCACCAACGCCATCGTGTTCTTTCCCCATGACTCCCCGGAGTCACAGGCGGCCCGGCAGCTGCACCGCCTTGTCACCACTGAGATGAAGATCCACGTCCTAGCACCACAACCCGACCCTCTGCCCCGGAAGAACGATTCACTCCCTCAAAACGCACCGTTAGCCAAACCAGATTCTTTCTTTTCCAAGAACAAAGCCTCTGGTCCTATATTGGTTTGCCGCAAACGCAGTTCTATGTCAGCTAAACCTTCCTCGGCCACCTTTGGCCAAAAGGGTGACCAACCCATCCTCAATGACAAGAAGGAAAGGTCATCGTCTGATGCAAAACCTCCCACGAAACCTCCTTCTGATACAGACGAAGAGGAGCCTCCCAAGGCTAAGGAAAAGCCTGTCACTGGAGTGAGAAGCCTGAGAAGGAGCAACAAGAACCTCAACAATAAAAAACTTTCTTCTAACTCCACGCCTAAGGCAGGGTCTTCCGGTAACAAACCATCGGAGACCCTTAAACAAGAGAAGGGCAAGGCAGAGGGAGGGCCAGACAAGAAGAGGAACGCGGCAGCAGATTTCTTGAAACGGATAAAGCGAAACACTGCAGTGGAAGCAGTGAAGGGTGGTAGCGGTGGAGGGGGAGGAAGTAGTAGCAGCAGCAAGGGTGGTGGAGGTGGTGTTGGTGTCAAAGAGCAGAAGAAAATGGTGAATAATGGAAAGGGGGATAAAGGGAAAGAAAGGGCATCAAGGAATAGCGTTGGAGGAGGGTCAGGGTCTGGGGATAAAAGGAGTAAGAACAGTGAGAACAACTCTCAGTCGAAGAGGAGTGTTGGTCGACCTCCAAAGAAGGCAGCTGAGACAAATGCAGGGAGTGCAAAGCGTGGGAGGGAAAATAGTGCTAGTGCTGGCAAGGATAAGAGACCCAAGAAACGTTCCAAGAAATGATTCAAGTTTCATAGTTAGCCTCTTTTCTCCTTCCTCTGTATATTATTATTATTATTATTATTATTATTTATTATTATTATTACTATTATCATTATTATCTTCAAAGCATGGGTCTCTTTCTTTGTTTTATACTGCTAATTTATTGATCAGCTGTAGCCTGTAGTCAGTTGCCAGGTACATGTAACAGTATTTTGATTTCGTAAACCTTGTAACAACATTGTCCTTTCGCGGACTGCTTTTCTTGATTTTTTGGTTTAACAGGAAAGCATAGTCAGTGCCAAGTGCTTGTGCTCGTTTTGATCACCAGATACTTTTAAACTCTCATTTCTTTTTAGATCAACCCAATCGATGCAAGCAGTTCATTCCACCATCTGTGTTCAGATTTCCATCCGTTGCATTGTATGTTTGAATTAAACGTCTTGCAATTTTAAGTGAGTGAATTTTATTTTGTAAACTAAGTTTGTACAACTTATCTTCCCTTTTCTATCATCAAAACGAGTTTCAAAGCAAAACTTTGCTTACAATTGGATCCGACTGGAAACTAAAACTTTATTACGTATCCTCCGTTTTAAAACACATCAATGATCAAAATTAAAATTATAAATAACATAATTGTTTTATGTATTATCTAGTAACTATCTTTACTATTTGCATTGGTGTTTTATTTTTATTTGCTAAAAAGGTTAATATAAAGAGTAATGAAAAATTTAATTTAGTTATAAAGTTATTTTCTAATATATTTGATAAAAATAATTTTAATCTATGTGTAAAGATTAAATTATATTTGATTATAATATATATGAATGTAAAAGATAAAAATTAAATTTAAAATTATTTATTATTATTTAATGATAAACCATAACAAACTATTTTTTATTTTTATTTCTTACACTAGTCAACAGTATATATTATATATATCCAATTTGTAATAAAATATGTTATATAATGAGATGACTCTTATACTTTTTTTTTCTAATTATATTATTGTTACATTGTTCAATATTTTTGCAAAAAGATAATGCTTTTTTCTTAAAAGGAGTACTTTAGTAATACATGAAATTTTCGATTTAATTAAAAAATTTAAATAAATTGAAAATAAAATTCCAGCAAATATATTTCATGTTCATTTTTTCATTTTAGGTAGGTCTTTACAAGTTAAGATTGAAATGTTATTTAATCTCACTATTTTTTTATTAACATGCTTTTAACTCTTTAATATCCCTATTTTCCCAACTTCCAGATTCTCTCTTTTATATTTAATACAAAAAATTAAGCAAGTTTTAAAGACCAGTTACTTATATTAACAGCTCTCCAAATTTTCTTTTAAGTATAAAAACCTTTTATTTATAGTTAAAAACAGTTCTATTATAAATGGTGTAAGATTTACCTTAGTAAAAAACTCCTAAATCACATCTATTATTACACCATTGAATACCTATATTGAACAAACAAACAAAAAATATTGTTTCAACAATTAACTTATATATTATCAATATTTTTTAAATAACAACAATGCAACTTATTTTTGCAAAAATTATGTTATATTAATTTTGATGCCCGTGTTACAAGGTTAAATATCTTTCTGTTCCCATGAAGATGGAAAATTTACTTTTAGTCCCTCTTTCAAGAATTTGGTTCTACATCTTTTCTAAAATGTGTCCCATTAAACTATAGCCAACCTGATTTTTTTTTCTTTTTTACAACTAAACGGGACAACGGAAAAAAATTAATAAAATATTATATCAAGAAAGAGAGTTGTTAATTAGTTGGATTTGTTAAACCTGGGTGTGAATCAATCATTCTTGTATTTATTAATCGCAATTAAAGATTTACAATAACTTTTTTACCGGTAAAAAAGTGTATATAGATTTGGACTCTGTACCTTCCCTTGCCCAATTGTTTTTATCCAAACGAACGCAGGCCCAAAGGCCTCTTGTCTTAGAAAAATCTTAGTTATATTGTAATTGTTAAATTGTTGTTGTAGTTTTCATTTTCATCATTGTATCATTTAAAAAACTCTTTTGGATTTGTGAAGGTAAAATTTCATATAATTGGTATTATTTTTTCTAAATTTAATTTGTTGAAAATTTTACAGCTTTTTTAGTTCTATCTCTAAATATCATTCTAGAATTTTTATAGTTTATCTTTATTTTTTGTTTTTCATCTGTTTTCCTAAATTTTTATGATATTTTTATTTATAAGTAAAAATTCTTTTTTTTTTACAAGTTTCATATATATATATATATATATATATATATATATATATATGAAATTGATGGATTTTTTTCAAGAACTCAAGAACTCAAGGAGGAAATCTAAGATATATATTTTTAAAAATAGAAAATAAAAATTAAAAGTTATTAAACATAAATAATTCGGATGATACAGGATCAATGAATGAAAGATTAATTTTATAGAGTGGCTGATATTTTTAGCCACAAATGATAGAAAAAAAAATTAAAGTAAGATAGTTCACACAATTTTTTTTATATTAAAATAATTTGTTAAAATTTAAATAAACTAAATTATAATTTTTCTATAATATATTATTTGAATGATATATTTATAATATTATAATTTCAATTATTAATTTATAATCGAATAATTTAATCTCTGTAAAATAACAATCTCTTAATTTATGGAATAAGAGGTATTAATCATTTCAATCCTTACAAATAAATATTTTTTATATTTTATTATTATTATTATTATTATTATTATTATTATTATTATTATTATTATTATATTGAAGATATGGAAGTAGATAAAGTTGTCATTTTGCCTATTTCTTTTGAACAGAATAATATTATTGAAACTTCTTCTCTAAGGTTAAACATTAGATGTTTCATCAGAGAGAAACATATGAAATAAAAATATAAAATAATAAATAAATTAAGAAATATAAAATACATAAAAATAAAATAAAGTATATATCGTTCAAGACTTAAAAATAAGTAGTATATAATGAAGTTTTTTTTAAGCAATAAAATTTAATTGATTAAATAAGAAATAAATTATTAAGATGATATAAGTTATTTTCTATTTCAGTTTAAAATTTCATCTCAACAATCTAAGATTTTATTTAATAAATATATTTATTATTTATATTATTTAGATAAAATTTTACATTTGGTTGAAAAATAACTATTTATAATGTTATATTATTATATGTAAGTTTAGTGTAGTATTTAGAATAAAGGGAAGACAATTAGAATTGTTCCCATTTGAAAAATAGAGAATAAAAAGTGGATAACGTTATCCAAATTAAATTCACTACACAAAGACATTGAAAATGTCCAAAGCATTTTTTGTGTGGTCATGCTTCAATCACGTGTACCAATCAAATTCTTACTGGGCCTACCCATTTTGCATTTCTGAATTCAATGTATAAAAAAGGTGCAAGTTTTTTTTTTATATATACAATGGCGGATGACAGTGGAATAAGTAACATCTACTCTTCTAAATTTAATAAATATTTAATATATTTATTTATATATTTATAATTCTTTTCTTATAATTTCTTTCTTAATTTTGTAACTTTAATTTAATTTATAATTTTATTTTCTTCAAATTTAATCACCATTTACTATATTTAAGTATATATTTACAATTTTATCTTTTCATCTTTTATCTTCCTTTTATATTTATTTATTATTTATTAATAATATTAATAATATATATTTGATCCCCTC